CGCTAGAGATCTGAAAATGCAGCCACAAAAGGAGATTTGGAAAATGTTGCAAGAGATTCGCTTGGGATCTGACAAGGAGAAATGGGATGTTCATTTAGAGGCTCAAAATTAGTTTGAGAAGGAACATCAGTTGTGTTTAGTGGTCAAGGGCTTGAATCTTGAACATCAAAATCCGGCCGGAATTAAAAGAGTTCTTCAAGCTTCTTGGGAAGCTAAAGGGTGTGTGGATTCTAAGGCCAATGATGATGGTACGGTTAACTTTTATTTTGCTAAAGAACATCAGTTACTGTTTGTGCTTGATAATGCTCCGTATGACTATAGAGGTTGGATGGTAGCGGTAGACCGTTGGATTAATCGGAATTCTCCTCAATTTCTATCCACTATACCATTTTGGGTTAGGATTGATAAGCTGCCTGAGGAGTTTTGTAGGCATCATATAGTAGAAAGTATTGGTTCCAAGATAGGTCATGTTGAGGAAGTTCGTATCACTGAACCCGTACTGCATCTTAAGAAGCCGGCTAAAGCCCAGGTTCGTGTTGCGATGGATATAGCTAGTGAAATATCTCTGGTTCGACAAGTCCAGATTCTGAACTCTTCACAGCCTGTTGAATTGGAGTTCAAGTATAAGAAGTTGCAAAAGTTTTGCCCTACTTGTGGTAGTTTGCAACATGGATATGATAGGTGTCCAAAAGCTTCAACTCTTTCAGCCACAGCCGGAGCTCTTATGGAGATTGGTCATGATCCTTTTGTCACTAATAAAGAAAGAAGAGCAGCTGTTGAAGGATTGAACTCGGGACAGGATTTGGGAGAAAGTTCAGGAGCTTCACAATCATTGCCTTTGATCTTACATCCAATATCTGAGTATTTAATGGAGCAGGGCTTTTGTCAACAAGCAGAGAACTCTGGTGCTATAGCTGAGAATGATGCAGTAGCTATTACTGTTGAGGATGTTCTTATGGGGGGCTCTTCTGCTCAGGGAACTAAGCGAAAGGTGGATGAAACAGATATGGAAATTGCACTGCCGGCTCAGAAGAAAGTTTCTTGTAAAAATACAAAGGTTGAAGGAAAGGCAGTTGAATCAACAAGTAGTGCTTCAAGTGGCAACACCCAAGCTCGCAA